TCTTTCAAATCAGCCAAATCTGAAAAATGATTAGATTGGAAGTTCGCAATAGAACAAAAAGGTTTGACAATATGTAATATATCGTAAAACAAAAAAAAGTTGAAATTAAACGTTTATAAAACCGTTGCCAAAAAAAGTTTATAAAACCATAGTTTTATGGGTTGACAAAACAATGAATGGTTTTTCCACAAGATCAACCACATGCATGCTATATATGTAATATACATTGGTATTGACTCCATAGGTTTAAAATTAGATTTTGAGTATCCCTCGATCTCTGACATGAAAGTGGGACTCGATGCATCAAAAGAGATGATCTGTATCCCTTACCGGAATCAGCTCGGGTCCTATCATCTCCTGGATCTGTTGGAATCTGTGGATATCAAAGAACAATCTCATCTTCTCCAACCCTACTTTCTCAGCAGAAGAAACAATCAATAAAGTAGTCTCGGACTCTAGAGAATGGATCCTAGGACACTTAGACCCACATGCTCCCTCCCAAGCTACTGATCGCATCCGATCCGATGCAGAACCGGAGACTGTTTGTTTCTTCGCCGATGCTACTTCGCGATGTGACTCACAAACCGCAAGAATCGCCTGGATTATGCGCAACCATGAAGATCAAATCATCAGCCAAGGATCCTCAATCCAACCCTATACTTCCTCGCCTCTAATGGCGGAAGCCCTAGCCATTCGTGAAGCCCTCTTATACATAGTAAGCAACGGCTTGCGAAACCTCCGATTGGCATCAGATTCCCAGAATCTGATCCGCCTGATCGACCAGAAGAATCAAAACATTGAGATCTATGGAATTCTCCAAGACATCTGACTTATTTATCTCAATTTCAGTGTTGTAACCTTTGAATATGTTCAAAGAGATAAAAACATCAAGGCCGATACCTTAGCAAAATCGGTTCTCAACCATGTATCGAATTTCCCCGGTTTTATGACATGTCACCTTTTCGACCAAACAAAAAAAAAAGAGTATCGTGAAATGAAATGACACATCTATAATATTCTACTTTGTTGTGCACACAAAAGATGTGGCCAAGGATCCGAATACACGAGAACAAAAAGTGATAGGTCTGCTCTTTATTTATGAATGTCTGACCATAAATCTTGTGACAAGAATAATTATTCTTTAGAAATTATACGGAGAAGAGATCATTCTTGGAATAAAACTTCACTCTTATTTACAATGCACTAGCTAGCATTGTACCGTGGAATATGCTTGTTTCTAGGATTGTATAAATACAAACATCGAATTTGCAGATTACAATTGTGGAGAGATTAGATGTATCAAAGGTGATAATGCATTACAGGGCAAGATCTCTATTGGCAGGAAACCATTACTTGACCTTTGCATCTCTTTATGCATTGCTTTGTAGTGAGTTCTCTGCCAAAGGAGATTTGCCCGGTAATTCTTCTGCGCTTATATTCAAAAAAAAAAAAAAAATTGTTACATGTTATTGATTGATCAAGACGATAAAACATACAAAATAAGTAAGCTCCAAATTTTCTTGTGTTTGAGCAGGCTTCATGCATGGATGTGTGAAGATCATCTCTCTTCCTCTTTGAATCAATGTATAGAAGGTGAATCTTTCTTCCTCTTTTTTGAATTATGATCTTCGGGATAATGTTTTTGTAATTGTTATTTTCAACGTGCAAGCCATGTCAGTGTACTCATTTGAAATAAAAACAAATGTAGATGATATGTAAAATCACTCACTTTCTGTTTTACTTTATATGTTTTCCTAACATCAGTTTTT